TTTTTAAAAAAAAATAAAATTGGTCAATTTGGAGCAAGTTGAAAAATTCAAAATGGCCACCAAATTGAAAAATTCAAAATGGCCACCATGTAATTCAGCCAGCATACCCAAAACCTAATCAGATCTTGGCAATAGTCTGCTCTTGCATCTGTAAAAATTTCAAGTTGAACGGATAAGTGGTTTTCCTGGAATTTTGATGACAAGATTTGTTGAAAAATTCAAAATGGCCGCCACGTAGTTTACCCAGCATGCCCTAAACCTAATCAGATCTTGGCACTTGTCTGCTATTGCATGTGTAAAAATTTCAAGTTGAACAGGTTAGCGGTTTTCTTGGAATTTTGATGACAAGAATTGATTTGTAGTCTCAAACTTTGAGAAACTTGGATAACATCATTTGTGACCTAGTTTAATGACCTTGACCTTCGACCTTGAAAATTTAACTTTTTCAGACCTCAGTAGGTGTTTTGTAATTAAGCTGACCTAAATTTAAATCCAAAATATCAATTTAGAAAATCAACTTTTTTGACCTTTTCAAGGTCACTGAAGGTGAATGAAAGGTCAAATCTGAAATCTAAGGTCAGATTTGAACTTCTGAGAACTTGTAGATGTTTTTATAAAAAAAATTTGGTCAATTTGGAGCAAGTTGAAAAATTCAAAATGGCCGCCAAATTGAAAAATTCAAAATGGCCACCATGTAATTCAGCCAGCATACCCAAAACCTAATCAGATCTTGGCAATAGTCTGCTCTTGCATCTGTAAAAATTTCAAGTTGAACGGATAAGTGGTTTTCCTGGAATTTTGATGACAAGATTTGTTGAAAAATTCAAAATGGCCGCCACGTAGTTTACCCAGCATGCCCTTAACCTAATCAGATCTTGGTACTAGTCTGCTCTTGCCTCTGTAAAAATTTCAAGTTGAACAGGTAAGCAGTTATCCTGGAAATTTGATGACAAGATTTGGTTTATGTCCCGCCCGCCCGCACGCCCGCCCAACAGCACAAGACGACGGCAATATAGCACTTTTTCAAAGTGCGATAAAAAGTATCATTGGAGGTAATGAAAATATATAGCTTAGCTAACTCAGAGAGCACTAAAACCCTTATTTCTTCAACTACTTAATGCAATATAGTCTAATATGATTAAGTTTAAAAAAACTATTTACTTGATCTATGTTTCTTTTAAAATGTTCTTGAAAGCAAGTATTGCCTGAAGAGAATTCTTTATCTGGATTTGTTTAAGGTTGGGCATTGGCTGTCAAGATAAAGTTATAAATGTTTTTTCTATTACACTTAGCCTACTGTTTAACCACTTATATGCTAAATATCTACTAATTAGATCTGATTTTAATTATTCATCATGGTTTATGAAATCACAGAAGCACATATAAACAGTTCAACACATTAGCAGAAAGAGTGATCAGATGTGAGTTTATTCATAATATAAGGTAGTTCACTTGAGATTCTAAATATTCTTCTGCCTTCTAGACAGGATGGTATTCTCAAAATCATGGCGAAAATCATAGAGTGAGTGAATATGGTAGTTGTCCTAGCCTCAAACACCATCTATACATGGAGAAGAAAGATAATTTCAGTTTTAAATAGCAGAAAGGAACTAGTAGTGCAACTCACCAGAAAAATGCCACTCGAGTAGAAAGTGTAAAAATGCCACTGAATCAAGTGAACGAAAAATTGTAAAAATGAAAAGCTCACCCTGAAGACTGAAGGAAAAATAAATACTATATTAGCCACTCTACTTCGTACTATCAGTGTTCTATATAGTTTGTATCAATTAAATGACAAGAAATGTAATTATTTATGCCAAAATTGTCATACAAAATTGATCATTCCTGAGGTAATAATAAAACATGCTCACTTGAGTTTGAAAAAACATACTCTTGTAACTACCTTGGACAGGTTCAACAAGTGAGAGGAGAGTACTGACATTCTAAACAAACCACAAAAAAAACATATTCTGAGTTCCCCTGTGGCATAGTACATGTTATGTTTATACATCCAGACTTGTAACTGTCAAGGTAAACAATAAATATCAATCAAGTTGATTTATGATCTGGCAATGGTATTTATCCTTAATAAGACCTAAAACAATTGCTGCATTACAGAACCAAAGAATAAGTACTGAGTGTAGCAAAATACATCATCCTTTAAACCATTTGAGAAAGGCAGAGAAGAATCATATTGATAACTTAGCAGGCTTGCATGGCGATACAACACAAGTCTTCTCACCTGACTCAACAGAAATACAACATTGGAAAGGTAGAACTGTAACCAATTAAAGCACTTAAATATAAATATGTTAATGTGACCTTTTATTCAAGAGATTGGGGTATGTTAAAGGCCAAGATCCCTTATCTTAGTAGACTCCAGACAGAAGCCACGTTTGTGGTTTCCACATCTAGATAATTCTTCCTGGTTTTCAGCAGACTAAATAAACCATGGCAACCAATATACTTGTCTACCAAGGAACAAACAAGTTGTATAGTTGTTATATGAATGGCTAAATATATCGCAGAAGTAGATTTAGCCAAGCTAGATATCATTACATAATATGGAGAACAAGGCATTAACATGCAAAATGTCACAACCTACCATTTGCCACAGACCCCAGATGCTGAAGTGCCGTCACAAAAAATGGAGACCGTAACATTTGGTGACATAAACAAACAAACAAACTAGATGATATTGTTAACATGCAGTGGCGGATCAAGAAGCTAACAGGGTGGGGGGCACATTTCAAGTCAAAGATTTTGAAAGTTTAAGGCCCATTTTAAGATAATTAGGCTTAAAAAGGCCAAGTAATGCCCAAAAGGCCCAATTTTTTAGGCCCTACAAAAATTTGGTGGGAGGAGCAGGCCCCATGGATCCACCAGTGACTTGGATTGTAATTTATGCCTATAAGTAGGTAAATCAATTTTGACTGAATTTTCAGAAAAGTAGAAAACCCTGAGTTAGAATACGAGAAAATAATCAAAGCTTTCTTGTATCAAATTATGTATAAGATTCAAATATGTTATGAGATTGAGAAGAAAACTGGAGTCCCTCTATGTGCACTTTGCATTCGTTTGACTTAAAAATCATCTACCGGTATATTATTTATAAGTTAAAGAGACATCTATGAACTCACCAAGCCAACCATGTATTAACCAACATGAAACATTATTGAAACAGATTTCTTTCTGTTTGCTGATTGGTTGAGAAATACCCTGCGCACAGAGTCTAGTTATAAACTACCCTCTGCCTAGTATAGACAATATTACAGTTTAGCAGCCCCATCCCCACGACCAATGCCTGTGACAGCTTGGGTCATAAACCATTTCACACCTACACCTACCACGCTGACCTATTCTCAACCAATCAGTGAGCTGGAAGGAGCAAGTGCTAAATGCGTGCAAAATAATTATGCAATTACATCACAGAAAGGGACCCTGCATAGAAAGTTGTTCGTATTGTTGTCGACGAAGAATTCTGATTCACTCGGTGAGTTCAGAGATTTATTGAAAACTGAAAGAGTGAAGACAAAGCCATCTTTTGAGAAGCAAAGTCAAACAAATGCAAAGGGTAGTTGAGAAAATATGAGTGTGATGGTATGAACTAATTTATGGCAAATCTTTCTTATTGGTGTCTCTAATACCAGAAAATACAAAATGCATAATTGAGACAATATCGAAATGCAAACAGATCTTTAGCTACCTATCTGAAAAGTATGCAAGTAAATTGGAAACTTGAGCATGAGCAGACAGGCATTCTAAAGAGTCTATGAGTCAGTCATATATTAGCACTGACATGACTTTCCAATGTTAGTCTGACCTGGCAAAAGATAAGTAAAAAATCACAAAAATGAAATAAATACTTTGGCATAAACATTTGGTCCTGGGAGAATCAGTAATGTACAGATTGTGTTGAAATACAGTCTCAAAGGCACAACGTATAATAGCATATTTTGAAAGCATATCAAAACTTCAAAAATGAATAACATGCTGTATAGCAGCCAACATTCTAAATCGTGACTAGAACAGATTCATTAGTAAATATGGTATGAGGGATTACAGGGGTTTTACAAAATGCATTCTTTAAGATGGTGATTTTTTGATAGTCAATTACTGTCTCAAGAATCTCAGAGAACCCAGGTGTGTAAAATCAATAAAAATTCCCTTCCTGTACTAGGTGTTTCAAATCCATCATTCATTAATACTAGATGGCAAACTTCCATGTGTTATATATCATATGAAAGCCTGTTCTATTTTGGACTCACTGAAACAATTTTGATTAAGCGAAGTAGCTTTTACAACTTGCTAAATATCGCTACAAAAGGTGCCCATTTGATCAATGGCATAATGATTATAGCATTTGATGGATTCTGAGGATATATCTTAATGATATTGAACAAATATTTCACTCTATTGAGGTGAATACCTGTACATCTTTCACAAGTGATATTCCACGAAGCCAAATTCCCGGGAGCGTGGGATATCGCTAGATATCTCACAGTTGTCTTATCTGATTAGCATTGCCATTGAATATCGCCATATATCCCACGACATGTGACCCGGTTTTGACCAATCATACTGTCGCTAGCTAGATAGTGATATAATAATGAAAAATATTAATGAAAAAATTATTAAATATTTCAAAGAACTACCCAAAGAGCTCTAATTGCTACGGTGCATCTTGATCTGCTCCTCTTTTTTATTCCGTTACTATTAGTAGCCTTCAATCAAGCAAATTATGTTCCCAAAGATCAATCATGCCAATACTTGGCCCATAAATCCAGAATTGGAAAAGCTTTACAATGATATCTTTAAAGCACAGTTGTTGTGACCTGAGATCAAGGTCAACTTTTATAGGTCAAGGTGATTCCAAGATCGAAGGTCCATCAATACCTAATTCTGTAGGTCTCAACCAACAGGATCCAGAGGTTCCATTGGCAGTGGTTTTATTCTTAGATCATTCGCAAAACTCTAAAATCACGAAGGAAAACACCTACCTGGACATTTGCATTCTGCAGGATGTTCATAAGCTCATCAGTCTGGGGCCCCGTATATTCATCAAGTTCTATCAGAGCTGACCCGACCAACTCCTGAGAATTCGCCCCTAATGCTGTAGTTGGTGGAGTTTTAGACACAACCTCCACAATTTTATTATGTGCTGCTAAAGCCCTTTGGAATCGCTGGGTCTCGAGTAAACGCTGAATGGCAGTCAGTTTTTCCTGATATTCTGTTGACTGCACCTGGCTCTGAACTCTACCAAGGGATCTGTACAGGTCTGTGATATCTGAAACAAGATAGAATACAATGATTTACTTTACTCTGCTCAAATAATGCAGGTTGTAGTAGATAGAATACAATGATTTACTTTACTCTGCTCAAATAATGCAGGTTGTAGTTACAAATCTAATATCATACAAAAAGCAGAATATTTTACTCATGAAAATGAGGCAGATATGAAAAAAAAATTTTCCAATATTTTACATTTTCTAGAAAATGCAATAATAGGAGAGAGCCATTAATATTTCATGGAGAGGTAGCTGTTCTATAGCTCTTCTTACAGGGCTGGGCATCAGCTGAAAAAGGACCCTTATAAAAGCAAGCTGGAATAACACAATCAAATATAGGAATACATCCATATTAAATTCATGTTAACTACTAGGCAGTTTGTAATGTAAGGGCTGGTACCATATTCATAGTTTCATGATGGTGCAATCAAGTGAATAGCCCAATTCCAATAAATCAACAAACAGGAGCCCTGGTGGTAATGGTGAGATAACAAAGACAGAATGATGAATGGTATATCTCAGAACTCCAAGAACTAAACCACAATCACATGAATCAATGAATAAACAAGAAATTATGCTTTTAATAATGCCATGTAGGATGTCAGTAGAAAGATTACTTCAAAGATTATACATGTCTTGGTAGTTGAGAGAAAGAGCTCTTCTCTTATCCTATTGAGGCAAATGCAATCCGTTGGAACATGAGAAAACAACAAGAAAATACATCTACTTGGTAGAGAGGCGAAATGCAACAAGTGTATTGGAAGGATTTCCACGTTCCAACTAAGATACATCAGAAATGAAAAAGTGATAAGACCCCTCGGGAAGTTGTGAATGAAAAAAGTCAGACGATAAAACAACTAGAAAACGGCAACTCCACGGAGTAGCAAATCCCAATGAAAACTATAACATATATGAATCTGTATTTGTCACAAAAATACACACATTAGAGATATATCAGAATTTCTATCAATTTAAGCATTGGGGTGACCATTAAAGAGTTTCAAAGGCACAAATAATAGACAATTTGAATTTATTTTCTGAGGCACAAATCAGGAAAACAATACAATAATTGTGATGTACCCTAAATTTCCTTCAATTTGAGAATAATATATCCAATATTACTTTAAAGAGATCAGAAGAGATCATTTTCAAAATTGCCTTTCATTTGAGTATAATAAAGCTATACTTCAGAAAGATCTCAGAACTAATGCAAATTCCTGTTTTCCCGTAAAAACAATGTATATTGGTGAATAGTTTTTGCATAAAACTATTCACCAATATATTTGATGAAGAAAACAATGTATATTGGTGAATAGTTTTTGCATAAAACTATTCACCAATATACATATCTTCATCAAATATGAAGAAAATCCGTCAACTCATATTCGATGTTATCTTCCGGACAGATGGACGGACGGACTGACTGACTGACGGACAGAGGTCTTCACTATATCCCTACCGAATTTCGTTCATTGGGATAATTACAAAAGAATGTGATAATTACTAGCACATCACTGTTTAACCACTGTTAAGCCATGTTATTTAAATATATGCTCCATTTTAAATGGACAATTTGGAGAAAAGTGTATCAAACTGGATAAAGATAATTTTCAGGATTACCCTACCAGGTCCTTGATAATTATAATAGCTTAGACTTTGTGTAGTATAGTTCAATATATTCATTTTGTAATGACTAATATGTCAGGTCATGACATATATAAAAGATATATAACCTGCCCCAGAACATATACAACTAACACAAATAGGGGAGATATACAGAGACTCGATGCAAGATTATGGAGTGAAGAAAAGCAAAGAGTCATTGTGAGTTACACATCTCATATCCATCAAAAGCATTGTAAGGATGGACTCTGATAAATCAGATGGCCAATGAGGACTGGTAGTTATCACCCCTTTTCCATCCTCAAACCAGCAAAAGATAATAGTAGTTGTGGTAAATTAGAATGAAAAGCAGCAGGCAAATGGGAGATTCACTTGTCAATCAAGGTTATATAATAATTAGACAGGACTAATGTTAATGTAATACAATGAATCCCAAGTGAGGTAATTATAGAAGTAATTACAATCAGTTGGTGCCATTATGAAACTTATGAGCATCAGTTAAATAAACAATTGTACAATATGTTGTATAAACCAAATCTACTTGCACTATGTCACTCTGATCAGTTGTTTGTTATTTTGTAGGTTAATGTGAAACTACAAACAATCTGATGCATGAATATATCTCCATAAGGAGAAGGTTTCCATTGACACCCCAAAAAGAAGTTTTTTATTAATGGACTTAAAAAGAAAAAGGATAATTGTAACATGAACCTTCAAGAAGATGACTCTTTTTGGAGGTTTCTAATGTGTCCCTGAGGAGAATCTTATCAATACCATTCAGATAGACTGCAGAATCAAACAGTTCTAGGATCTAATTTAAGTAAATTCTTAGGTGATATTGGGCATAAAAATGAACAATGAAAGGTAGACTTAATATTCTGGCAAGATGCTGTCACCTTTTACTGACACATCAACATCAAGACCCCATAGAAACTACACAAACCAGTAACCTTCCCAGCACTAAAGCATTTGGAGGCTGTACCATGTTGATTCTAACATACTGAAAATCTATTGCACTTTGTCAACAAGGCATTAATATGCAAAATGTCACCACCTGCCATTTGTGTTATAGATGCCAAACACTAAATGCCAAACACCATCCACAAAAAGTTGGAGACTATAACAATATGTAATAATAACAATTTATCTTAACAGGTAAATGGGCAGTACTTTCTCTGAAATTTCTAATAACAAAGTAGTTAAAGCCTTTTGGAGGGAGATATGACTAACAATGAGGTTTCTCCTCCAGGAGACTATGAGATATTATATGTAATAACGCCTAATATTTATGTCATTATGGCCTTACCCAAAATATAAATTCACAAAAATGAGCATTAACATTGTAATGTAAAAGTTCACTGATATTCAATCAATAAGTGAATAATAAATGAGTGGTATTTCTCTGAGATAATGATACAAGGCTAATCAAGATATGATGAAGCAGAAGTAAGCTAATGTAGTCTGTTTATCTTTGTCACTATATAGCAATATTTGTGCTACTTATCTTCATCATGATTACATTACCATTGAGGAGACATGATCAGAAATAATCTCAAAATGATACATTACTTTTGCATAAACAGTCCAGGGATATAACAAAATTGGAGTCAGGAGGCAAATCATCATTTTGAAAATAGAATACGATTTGGGCAAATCTTTGGAACAATGTACCATTTCCTTTACTGAAGAGAGAATGTGGGGCAATGGAACATTTTGCTATTCAAATCTTCTTGACTGAGCTACCACTACTTTATATAAATATAAGAAGTTGGAACGTAGAGTGCAAATGAGAATGGCACCATGTCATATTCATTGGACCATTTTACAAAAGTATTACAATCTGGCACAGAGCCATGGTCGCTGTTATAGTACATACATATATGGCATATGCATCATTCTGAGGCAGTTGTAACATTGATGGTGTCTCACTTTTGAAATCAGAATAATGGAAAGCCACTAATTTAACCATAGAGCTTTATAAAGTGGGTCCAACATTTGAAGCTGACAGACATGGCCATATAAAGGGTTGCCAACTCACTACAAGGGCAAAGGCAACCAGAACTGACATGAAAGAGAACAAGTGAGGGGAAAGAGATCCTGGCACTTACCTAATGGTTTCTGAGCCCCCGGTGGTGGTTTTCCCCTGACCTGTAAAGTGGCACCTTCATACTGTACATCCTTATTTTCATCTTCCTCCAAGTATGCTGTATTTACAAACCCTGAAGTTGGTACAGGAGGGCGACCTTGTTCAGAAAGTGCTTGCATTTTTTTAGAGCCCCGCAAGGACTCTCGTAAAAAATTTTGTTCCCTTGTATATTTATCCTCTTCCTCTTTGCGTTTGCGTAGACTTTCCTGATGCATCCGTATACGCTCTAATTGCTCCTTAGAGATATCATCTCTTGTAAGCTCCTGGGAACCCATAAATCCAGCATCAGTGCTGCTCTCCCCACCAGGGTTATTTATCTGAATACTAGGGGCAGGATTTGATGGTTGGGGAGGCACATAGCTATCCCGTGATTTTAACGATGGATAACTTGGACGCTGTTTTACTGTACCCTCAAAGTTCTCTGGTACATCAATAGCCATTTCTCTACAGTCACTGCTGTCACTATACTCTACAGCACCTTCAATGAGAGGTTCAGTACTTTTACTTGGTTTACCATTTTGATATAAAGGGGGTCCATTTGAGTTATATCCCTCAATATAGTTACTGTTATTGTAATCCGTTAATGAGTCCTTCGAGCTACTTGATGGGATGTGACCATTTTCCTGTGATGTGTTTTCAACTTGCACATTTACTTTGAGTGGGTTTCTAGAGTCAACTGCATATCCATTCATGTTTGAGGTGTTTGAGTTGCCGTTAATTGCACTTGGGGTATAGGAGTGACCGTAAGCTGGAGTCACACTGTCATGGTATGTGGGGCCTGCTGGGGGAGCAGGTCTCATATGGGGGGATGGACTAGAGTTATTACTAGGGTGCTGCACTACCGATGGAATAGAATCATGCAAATTATTATGTCCTATATTGCCGTTTGTTGTCTGTAGGTCTCCGTTGTCATGAAGACCAGACAATTTGGTCATATCTATGGGTTTGAGTTTATTAAGAGCTGATAGTCTCTCTAAGCGTTCTTTAGCCTGGTCTTCTACAGCAATTACGTAAGCATCTTGTATCTCACCTAACTCAAGTCCTGGAAGTACACAAAACAAAACAAAGATAAATAAAATTTTTGATAACTGTGAAATGAAAAAGCACAAAGGGCAACATTTTAAATGAAAACTATCTAATGCTGATACATCTGCATGTATCTAAAAAGAAGAGGCAAATACTGTTTTGAACAAGAACCTTCATAATTTTTGATGCAATTTATTTTAGAATTAATAATACAAATAATACAATAGCCCATAGAAACCCATTATCCAATTAATAAGGTATTATTTTCCCCATTTTGCTTGTTCCAATATTCAAGCTATTATTTCACTTTGACAGTTTACAGCCTCAATGTTTCAGCTAAGATTAATGTTTCTGGAATTCATAAATAATTTAGGTTGAATTTTATACAATAGGGGTATTAGTAAAGTAAGTGTCTAGACTGCTGCTATGAACAATCTGCAAGTTTTTCATGCTAACTAATTTTCTCTCTTTTCCACAGTATCTTAGTTAAATAATGTTTTATTTAACTATATGAACTTGGTCGCAAGCCCTGGTGTACGAGCCAGTATTCGAGTTTATATTATTTGGCAACATCATTGCTATGGTATTTTGTGAAAATAATATGGCAAAAACATTTCCAAATAGAATCAGAATTATGATTAAGGACATATCACTAGCCACAATAAGAAATGTTGGCTGCCAATGCAGAAGGCTCTTATAATAATGAAGTAATAAATAAACCTGTTATTAACGTATGTGAAATTAGAACATCATGAATAAATGATCAACCCTTGTGTAAATCATACTGAAAAAAGAAGTCACAATTTACAACCCCTAGATACTCATACTGGGCCTTTGGGAATTCACATTAAAGCTTACAAATACATATTAATATTTGTTGCAGTTTGGTGCCACTCTCCAGTCTCTTCCAGAAATCAAGGCTATTATTAAACATTATTCAAGATCATATTTGTGCCAAAGAAAATGTTAGTTTTTCTCATTAGTCTTACAGTACTTTATCATTAGGGTCATGTACATGTACAGTATATACAAAATACTATGCATCTATAATGCATATGAATTTATACCATTCTTGCATTTATTCTGTACATGTATTTCATTAATCCACATTGTCACTCATATTTTCTCATCATTTTAGATTTATTCATTCTTTCATTTTATCAAATATGAAGGTAATGCAGAATTTTCTCCTTCAGATCTCTAATAAAAACTTTACATAAGATTTAAAACATTAGGAAAACAAAGCTTGAACAGTGAATATTGGCCCTGTATTAAACATCTAGCTTACTTTAAAACTCATAACTGAAACTAGAGGAAAACATTGTTCCATATATGAAACCAGTGATATTACATATCCTATAGTAAATATGATGTGATAAGAATGAGAGAATGAAAGTGAACAGTTAAGAGAAATTGCTCTATGAATGTTGTTACTATTAGCATGCTCTCGATTTTCTTTTCCTTATAATTAGATAATCATCAGATAAAGCAATAACTCAATTCTGAACAGAAATAATAAAACGTTCAGATGCTATTTCTTTACTTATTATCAGTGTGAAAGGCCCTTGTTGACTATCTGTTTTCACCATTGGGTACCCCAATAATCTCTACAGACAAAAAGGGAGTTGATGTTTTCACCATTGGGTACCCCAATAATCTCTACAGACAAAAAGGGAGTTGATGTTTTCACCATTGGGTACCCCAATAATCTCTACAGACAAAAAGGGAGTTGATGAAAGTGTGTTCTGGTTGTATTCCTTTACAAGGTATCACTTTCACATCTGACAAGAAACAAGAACCTGTTCAGACAGCTGAAACAGCTTTATCTCAGTGCTATAGGGTACAAATTCTACAAATACTCCACTACATGTAAAATGCAGTGTTAGGGAGCAAGAATCAAGAAAAGAATCTATTAAAGATGCCAGTTCTACCATACTGACATGTTTTTTTAATTGTTTTATTCATTTATTTACTTCCCTTGTTCAGCAAATACAACACTCCCTATACTTACACATCTAGATTATATTTTATAGGGGGGGGGCTATACTAGGTAGTGATAGATCGTATAATTATTGTGTTAGACAAATGCTTTACATTCTTGGTTTAGTTAGAACAGGGAGTTCCCTGAACAAGTCAAGATAGATTACATGCAGCTAAGTATGTGCTATAAGAAGCCCCAAAACACAAAGTTCAATGTTGATTCATTGTTACTAATTCATCACATTTCAAATGAATATCAAATTTAACAGGAGGAATTTATTATTAAAATTCTAATGGCTTGTAACATATGTGCCTGTTAATATTTTTCCTAATATACTGTAAAATTGTCTTCTTAGCCCAAGACACAGTAACGTTAACACATTAATTAGTGGTATACTTTTCCACTTAACCGCAATCCAACCATACCAGACAAATCAAAGACACGTGAATGTGCCTAATATATTGCTCTAAATGATACAATCTTTGAAAATTTAATATCATTCACTGAAAAAGAAAAAAGTGAAAAAAACTGCACTGAAAGCAATCTATTTTCCTTTTTATGACCGTCATTTTTGTTTCAGACAACTTTCTAAAATTTCAAAGATTGTATCATTTAGAGCAATGTATTGAGCACATTTTCTGAAAAATTCAAAAGATTCTGTTCAGTGACCTTTCTTATGCTCCTACTTTTAGCTATTTTTCAGTCACATTTTCAGAGGGCTGAAAAAATTATTTCATCATGTTTAGGGTCATTCTGACTTAATGTACATCCTGATCCTGGTCATGTAAATGTTATGTGGAAGTAGTTTAACTGACTGGAGGTCAAAACAGAACTCTGATATCTTGGTTCAAAAAATGTTTGAAATCAAGCATGGTTTTGTAATTTCCTATTTTATCATTTCCTGATAGTATCATGAGACCTAAGTTCCGCTATATTTATTTTCTTGTTTTATTTTACAATAAATATGACAACTGAAAAAAATAACTACATGTATATACATCTCATATCAAAGAATAGTAGTATATCAATTTGATGATAGCACATTGTATTTGTTCTAAACTTAGTCTTGTATCAAGCTCAACATACAGGACATACCTCATTTCAATATGAGTCAATAAAAGATAGATATATATACAATGTATATATATATCTGGAGGGAAAGCTTTGGGCTCAAGACTTGGTGCAAGACTATTAAAAACTTTCCAAGAAGAAATGATGGAGTACGAGACAAGTACTACATGCACATGATCTTTGAAGAGTCCAATAAACCGACTAAATTTTCAACTATGAGCCCTTGAACTTTGACAAACCTATCTATAATTCAGAAGAGTGAGTACCATTATACATTTTACTTATCTCTGTTTATCAAAATATTCTACATAGAATATGAATGATGTAATAAAATAAGTAAATATTATATTTATTTACTTACGTTCCTTCATTAATCCAAGACAATATATGTCTAACTTTCAACATGCACCTTAGCTTGCTTCATTGAAATTCCATTCACTGTATGTACAAACCTAAACAGACCCCTTCTAAACATCAACAATTTGGTTTAAACATACACATATGCTGGAAATATTAAAATTCCAGAATTCCAAAGTTGAATGGATTAAGTTTTATTCCTTACTTTATGTTGAGTAAACATAGAACTAATCTTGATAGGATTTTGACGGGTTGTTTTCAAATTCAATACAATTTCAACAAGCTTTTTATGCTCTTTTAGACCCAGATAGAATTCTTTTGAATATTGAACTTTTATATTTAAAACTTTCAGGAAGAAGCACTTAAACATAAAAATATTCTCTATTAGAGCAAAATAATTGCCAGAGTTATATAGGTGCATACATTTGTCTTGAAAAGAAATTGAGAATTTCAATACTGTGTTGTTTATATCATGTTTTTCATCAGGTGATTTCTCAAAATAACCAGCTTTTTAGCATTGTGGGAAATCACAACACTATCAGTTTCTTTTAAAAACATATTTCAAGGTTTCTCTAGAATGTCTGGCGAAGGGTAATATGAATGAAAACAACAGGCAAAATTATTAGAAATTGTAATTTCAGCATCGAAAAGGAAAAACAGGAAAAATTATGAAATGTGAAGTAATCTTGCCAGAAATAGTTTGCCTGATAAGATGCATACTCATAAGGTGAACATATTATATAAATGCACCTTGTAACATACCTTGGATGAAGAAATTGCAACTAAATTATTCATGTCTATGAGCTAGCCCACAGGTTTAATTAACACTCACATATCAGACATGCCCTAGATTCATATTGTTTCTTATTGAAAACCACTTGATGCCAAATATTTGGGGTAGATTTTACCACTGGAGAAATATGGGGTCCAAGGACCCTACTTTGTCAGACATTATTGAAAACACTTCCTTGTAAACCTAAAAATAAATCATTTCATTTGTTAATTCATTATTAATACTAAGCATTTAATAATCTTAGTGAAAAGACCAAGTATAAGCTGAATGATTTCTAAGAATTGGTCACAATCTACTTTGATAACTTCCATCCAAGTGACCGGCATTAACACATGCAAGGTACCTGAAGGCTGAATTGCTGAATTGTAGTACCCTATAAAGACCAAACATTAAAACATCTAAATTTTGTATTTGTAGTCAGGCAAGTGGCATCTTCTTCTTTAATTATCAGTATATATTTATCAAAAGATCCATGAGGATTAAATAAACTCGATCAATGTTATAAATGGTAGGGTTAATTTTCTCTGCCAGAATCTAGATTAACTGACAAGTATGCATAATATATATATAAGCAGAATTCTTTGATCCCACAATCCGTTATCTGACACTCAACACATATTTTTGTCATGCAATGAAGGATATACACTGAATTGAGGGGATATAAATCAAAATCTCAATCAGATTTAGGAATTTAAAATATTCTCTCTAATCCCTTGATGATTTCATGTAAATGTACTAAAAAGAGGTTAATCATCTGATTCTAACTAACAGTCCATATATTATTATTATTATGAGCTTTATTATACTTGTATCCCACATTTGGGCAAAGTGTACAGCTTAAACAGAAAAAAAATGAAAAAGCTTAACTAATTATCTATATAGTATATTAACTAATCAAAGGGTGCTTGATCATTGCAAGATTTTATTGGATGCATTTCGTGTTTTTTTCTCTCTCGATAAAAATATTAGATATATATTTTGCTAGTATATTTAATATTATTCCCTCTGAATTAAATAGAAACATTAATTTATGTTCCACGTTATTCATGTTTTCTAAATTTTGACAGTGTTTTTTTATTTTATCCATGTAACTTGACCGAACATCTTTTAACTTATTGCATTCTAATAGGTAATGACATTCTGAACCGGTTTTCTTGTTACACATTAAACATTTTCTTTCTTCAATAGGGGTAATTGGTTTTGTGTAACGACCTGTTTCGATTTCTAATTTATGTGCGCTAATTCTTAGCTTTGTCAAGTTATTTCTGTCTATTTCATTTTTGATTAAATCCAAGTAGGGTTCCTTGTTCCATTTTGCTTTTATTATCTTATAAAACCTCAATTTACCATTATTTGATTTTATTTTAGTTTCCCAAAATTGTATGTATCTATTTTCCAGTAATTTCTTAATTTCTCTTGGTTTTAAGTTTAAATAGTTTGGTGAAGTACCATTGTAAATATATTTAAGTACATCATTGATGTGCGTGAGCCATGATTGTTTATTCATATCTGTCAGTTGTTTATTTACCTCAAGGGCTTCACGTAGAAGCGAGTCGGTTCCTTTATTGTTAATATGATTAAGATATTTCATTTGTTGATAAAACAAAGAAATAAATAGTGGAAACCTACCTAAATCGCCTCGTGTAGCGTCATTACTGGCCTTTCTGTTAACACCGAGTATCGATTTCATAAATGATATATGAAGAGATTCAAATGTTATTCCATCATATCCCTTTTCTAATGCCCATTGTGGGTCTTTTTTAATTTTACTCGAGTTTAAGATACCCGTACCCCATATATCAGATCCATAGAGGCATATGGGCTTTATGAGTTGATCAAATAGTTTTAAGCATAATGATGGTTTCATATTACCATTAGAAATTAGACTTAATAATTTAAATTTTGCCTTTTCAGCTTTGTCTTTGATATGCTGGGCTGCAGGTCTCATTGACCCACTTATGCTTAATTCCATTCCCAGGTAAATGTATCGTGAAACAGATTCTATTTTGTAATTTCCTATAAAGAAGTGATTATCAATAAGTCTACCATTTTTATTCATTACCATAATTTTGGTTTTATCAGTGTTGATATCTAAGTGCCATTCTTCACAGTATTTTTTTAATTTGTCCAATTTGGTTTGCATTTCATCTTTTGAGGATGCGATAATTACTAAGTCATCAGCAAAAAGGAGGCTTCCAATTCGCTTATTATTTAATAATGGGTCTGTTTTGAGATCTAATGTTTTAATAATGTCATTTATATATATATTAAATAGAAGAGGACTCAGGGGGTCCCCCTGTTTTATTCCCTTGTTACAGTCAAATTCATTGGTAAATAAACCCTCATTATCTAGTCTGACTCTTGCTTTTGATTGTGAATATATATGTTTTATCATTCTATAGAATAAACCGTTTACACCCGATTGCAAAAGTTTCAAAAATAATCCATCATGCCATACCGTATCGAAAGCTTTCCTCAAATCAACAAAACACATATATATATTCCCTTTTTCACTTAGTACATATTTATCCACGAGGGTTCGTATTATGAACATGTGGTCAGTTGTTCGTGCTTTCTTTGTGAAACCGGCTTGATTTTCTGATATTATTTTTCTGTCATGTACAAAGGCGTAAAGTCTATTATACAAAATTATTGAAAATAATTTGCCAAAGCAATCAGAAATAAAAATACCTCTGTAATTTCCAGGGTCTTTCGTCGTTCCTTTCTTAAATAACGTAACGACTGATGAAATATTCCATTTCTCAGGGAAAACTGTTTTGCTCAGTAATATGTTAAACATTTTACATATAACATTATTTAAAACTGAGTATGACGCTTTAATCATTTCATAGCTAATGCCGTTAAAACCCGAACTCTTGTTGTTCTTTAATTGCTTAACTGCCTTGTAAACCTCGTTTTCTGTTATTCTGAAGCTAAGTTCGTCAAAATGATTGTCGTTTTCTATTGATTTAACAATTTCGTTGACTTTTTTTGTTGTTTTCGGTATTTTTATCCTTTTCAAATAATTTGGAAAAATGTTCATGCCATTTCTCTGGTGTTATATACGCGGACTTATTGTTTCCGTCTTTTTGCCTTAGTTGCTCAAGTAGTGACCAATATTCTTTAGGGTCATTGTCATAAAGTTCTTCTAATTTATTTATCATATTAGTTTTAAATTTCCTCTGTTTTATCTTACAGCATTTCCTATATTCCTTTAGCAACTTGAAGTAATTACCTCTAATCATATTATCATTTGGTGATTTTATTAGTTTTGCTCCAATTGACTTAACCTTTCTTTTCAGTATACTGCAATCATTATCAAACCATTTTTGAGATATCGAGCCCCCTTTCTTTTTACAGGGTAACTTTTTTCGTAGTGTTCTTTTTGCTGTGTTAATTATAATTTTTTCGAGCTTGTCAATACAATCATCAATATTATAGGTGTCGTTTAGCTCGTAATTGAGTTCATTTATATCATTTCGTGTTTTTAAATTATTGGAGAGGTCCGTTTTAAATTGTACCTCATGACGGGCGTCCCATTTATATTTGATTGGTTTCATTTTGATAGTATGCCCATTGTTTTTAGTCCGATTGTTACCGTGGTCGTTTGGTATTCGTACTTGCATTAATAGAGAAATCTTGCAATGATCAGAGAGCACACAAAGGTTATCATGAACCTTGAAGTACATAATATCTGGAAGCATATTTTCATGAATAATACAATAGTCAACTACACTGCTTCCATTCCATTTATGACAGGTGAATCTACCGGGCGAGTCCCCAAGTACTCTGCCATTTATGATTCGTAAATTAGATGACCTGCATAGGTCTAGTAGCTTCTTACCCGAAGCATCAACAACTGAATCCATGCTGGAACGTTCATTGATGGTGACATCGTTGGGACAAAGCAGAATGTTTGGGATATGATCATCATAACCGTGATTATTTTCAAAATCGCGTACTTCACCTGTTCTTGAATTAAGATCTCCCATAATCATAACATCACCTATATTAGAATATTTATTTATTTCTTTTGTCAAAATCTCGTATGGGTCATCCCCTGAGTTGAATTTACCTTTTGGGTTATAGTTTGCAGGTGAAAAATACGTTATACATAAGTACATGTCATTACTTGTATTAAAGAACTTTTTTGAAAGTTTAACCCACAGGATATCTGGTGTCTTCGTTTTGATTATTGTCGTTCCTGCTATATATGTATTTCTTATAAGTACAGCTAATCCGCCATGACGTTTCCTGCCAGATTTAACTCTATTTACCGAAAATGATGTGAAGCCCTTAACTCTATCAAAACATATCGGGTCTTTTTCATCACCATGTGTTTCGGTTAGACAGACTATATCATGTGTTATTAATTCTTTGATAAAATCATTATCGTGCAATTTGTTTCTTACTTTGCTTTCAATTCCCTGAACGTTCCAGCAAGCGATATTTAAATGTGTGGTAATGGTCGTATTTTTATATATCATTATAATACGTAAATATGTTAATTAACATTCAACATCTTACATCTTACATCCCGACATACTGAAAATATAATGTAATGATTGCATATAGTGTACTTCTGCTGATAACGTCTTAAATGCGTAGAAGTATTATACATTCTTACTTGAATTTATAATATAATTAAACGTCTTATATAACTTATTTAGTCGCTGATCCGTCTAAATTATACAGTCATTTTATCTGACTGAAGTGTCTTTGAAATTGTGACCTACATGTATATCCTGGCTTTAAACCATATCTGGAGTATATTGATTACATATCGAATACATATCGGAAACTACTACTACATTATACTACAATACAATATAGTACAACACAATACAATACTACATTATACTACAATACAATACAATAATATCGCTGGTCTTGAGTGAGTAGAAGTTAACAATCCGTTTATGGTCGTAAATTCGCTGACCAGTCTAGAGTATCAACAGTTCCTTTATCGATAGTATCTTTGATACTATGCCCTACATGTATGTCTTGACTTAAAACCGTAAACGGAATGAATGAGTAAAATTCGTGATTACATTCTTAATTACCATAGTTTTACAAAATAATGAAACATCTTAACTAAATAACGTTTAATTCGTCTAGTGTAGTCACTGATGATCAGTTTAGATTACCATCAGGCCCCGGATCTAGTATCTTTGATACTGTTGCCTATATCTTGGCCGAGATCCATAAAAGTTATTGTTGCTGGTCATGTTATTGTTGTTACGATGTGCTGGTTGGGAGAGATTACAAAACCTTCTAACCGTGCGAAGTATATTCCCGCAGAGCATTCTAGTTCCTTGTTCGTTAATATGTACGTTATCTCTGTAGAGATGGGGTTTCGGTTGGCCATTCAGTCCTAGATTGTCATTGGGGCAGCATGTGACGTTGTCGTTATCGTGGAATAGTACTTCCAATTGGCTAGCTATAGATTTCTGACGGAGGTTCCATTTTGGGTTGTCTTTTCTCGGTGGTGGTGGTAAGGACACTATAATCTTCGAGTTCGGAGCCTTTGTTTCGTTGAGTTTGACCAGTTCCTCCATCGATTTGATGATCCTTTCATCTGATTGTACTGATTTGACATCATTACTTAACACCTGGAACACTGTTATGTCTGGTTTTGAAGTTGAACCATTTACGTAATCTTTAGCCTGTTGAATTGTATAGGCCTGTTCAACTGACACGTTAAGTCCGCTCATCCTCTTGCCATCCACATGGGACAAAATGCTTGATCCGATTAGTTTAACAGTTGGTTCCTTCTCGCTATTCTCATCGTTGGTTATTTCTATTAGATTGTTAGATTTCCTGGTTACCACTGTGTAAGGCGTGTCGTCTTTCTTCTCGTGTGCTAATTTTTTGCACTGGAGTTTGAGTTCAAAATTTTCCTCTTCCTTATCTTCTAAATACTGGTTTTTATTTTTTATTCTTTGTTGTAGCTCTTCCATTTCATTCTTATTTGATCTGATAACTGAATCCTGTTTCTCCACTTTCTTCCTCAGTGTGTTAAGATCGTGAAGTTCATCATCTTGTTTGGATATTACTTGCATCTTTGATTGAATCTTTTCATTTAGTTCTTCGATTTCCCTGTTTTTTGAACTTATAATTGTTTGTTGGTGATCAATTTCACTTTGATACGCCTTAATTTTTCTGGCTTGGTCTGTAACAAAATCAGCTTGTTCTTTTCTTATCTTTCTTACTCTGCGTAATTCTGTATCATGCTCGCAAGTCGATTCTTCTCCTGAGCATCGCGTTTCTTTCTGTGATACGTTGTTCACACTCACTTTGTCTATTAGATCGCAAACTGTATTTTCTAATTTTTCCATCTTTCTAGTTATTTTTGACAGTTCTTGCTGAAGGATGCTGGTCTCACAATGCTTGTGCATTTCCTGTCCCATATATAACTTACCAGTTGCCATTGTGTAAGATATCATCAAATAGATTGAAATGTTGAACTTACATGATGTAGCCTCTCCCAAGGCAGTATATGTTACTGAGTGATTGATGTAGTATAGTCATTTTGTAAACATATTTCTTTACAAATCTAGTCTTGCATACACCCACTTCCCCCCCCCCCACTGCTCCTATTATCTACTTACTTATGAAGGACGAAGTATATATGATAGGGACTAAGATACATAATGGATTGGTGCAAGATTCAGGGTTCTCGCTTGGCTTTTCTCTAGTATTAAAACCTGTGTCTCTCAATTCAAATCCTTAACTCATATGAATTTAAAGTATTATATATTGCTTATAGAATTGCATAAAGCCACTTAGTATGCCACACAATGCTTGTGCATTTCCTGTCCCATTCTCTTCATCACACAGGATAACACATGTGATGGTAGAAATAGGCAGGAGGGGGTACACAGGGACTTGTTGTAAGACTTCATTTTCCTATGACTACTAGTGGTCGGAGGTAATACCGCATTACCGACAACGGCACTAATTTGACCTACAGGGTGGGCCAATAAAAATTGGAACATTTTTCTGTTTATTCAATTGTCTTTATTTTTGCAGTTCAATCCATGAAAATTCAGATAATGGTAAAATGATTATTTGTGAAAATGTTAAAGATAAAAATATGTATGTATGATTATTTTTGGCTTGTCATGGTCATGATCTGTATTCTGCGTGTGTCATGAAAAATTTCCAATTTTTTTCTGCTTTAGACATCACTGCTGAAAATAAAGTATCTTTCATACCATACAATATGCACCCTCCAGTCTCAACACAATTTCCATCAATTAAAAAATATGTAGTTATCTCTAGGGGAAGCAAGACATGTCTCCCTTTGATAATATAGCTTAATGACCTCAGCTTTTTTTTTAAATTGGCACAATATGTCTCAAAACCTGTGATTTAAGCCATGTATGACTGTCAAATACAGCTAAGACTGATTGTTCAAGTAGGCGAAGGACATGTTCAGGAAACCCTTGCGTTGAGTAAAAAATTGGAACATTTTTCCATCAATTGTAACATTTTTGTTAGTCATGTATTATCTTCAATACTTTAGAAAATTGAAAAACAATTCATTGTCAACAGCTTGTACAAATAAGAATATACAAGCTCAACACTTAATTACTGAACATGTCCTCCACCCACCTGAACAATCAGTCTGAGCTGTATTTGACAGTCATACATGGCTTAAATGATAGGTTTGAGACATATTGTGCCTGTTTTGAAAAAAAGCTGAGGTCAGTTAAGCTATATTATCCAAGAGAATCATGTCTAGCTTCTCCTAGAGATAACTACATATGCTTTAATTGATGGAAATTGTGTTGAGACCATTTGAAGGGCATATATTTTATGGTATGAGATACTGTATTTTGAGCAATGATGTCTCATGCAGAGAAAAATTTGGAAATTTTTCATGACGCACACAGTATACAGATCATGGCCATGACAAGCCAAAAATAATCATACATACATATTTTTATCTTTAACATTTTCACAAATAATCATTTTACCATTATCTGAATTTTTGTGATCTAAACTGCAATAATAAAGAAAATTGAATAAAAAGAAAAATGTAATGTCGGCATCAAAATCTTCTTACCGGCAATGGACGGCATTCAGCTGAATTAGATTCCCGGGCGGAATCAGCCAAATTCCTTCATCAGTATGATCTTTAATTTATAGTTTCTTTTCTCACTTATTAACTAAACTGTTATGTATAGAAACCGATTTGTGTATATTACTAAGTGAAATAAACAGAATTAAACCATTTTCCTGACGTTGAAGTTTTACTTTACCTATTATCGCCCGATTTGAAGTTCAGAACGAGGCTGATAATACAACGAATGAAAACGTTTTTATTTTACGAGTTTATATCACATGAACCGTTAGAATCAGGATTGTTTAGTGGTTTAAAATGATTCTGAGTGGGTTCTACTGCTTCTACAGATAAATTAAGTGGTATGTATGGCGTACTATGAGATTTGTACTTTTTTCAAAATACTTGCTAAATAATCGGTAAATATCGGTAATGACATACGGTAATATCGGCACCACTTTTCATAACCTGTCCGAGCACTAATGACTACCCTTCACACTCTTCTGATCCCTCCTACTAATAAATAAATAAAGAACCCGCGGTCCTTGGCTCACACAGTATTTTGTGCAACCAATGATGATTGACTTTATACATGAGAAAGTTCCCTGAAAATGACAGTCCTACTTTTTGTCAAAATTTATAGAGTAAACACAAAAGATTTGCTTTGATTTTATCTTCAGAGAACATAAGTTGCATATACAGCAACTTCTACAAGTTATTTGAAAGTTCTACTTCAACAAAGTGTCTAGTATTTACAGAAAATTTGATTTTTTGACATTAAATCAGCAATTTCTCAGAAACCGGGCAACTTGGGAAATGGCGATGAAAGGTCAAATTATGGATATGCATAAAATGAATGTGGATATGACTCAATCCGAATAGCAGTTTTAATTTGTGCGGCCAATGTTGAGGGATGGATGGACCAACGGATGGACGGACGCCTGGTCAATCCCATAAGCTCACTGTGTGAGCCGATAAGTCAGTTGAAGAAATTAAAGTGTTTCAATCAGCTAATAATAGGAGCTTGGTACAAGACTGATCATACCTTAACCCTTTCACGATGATAGGCTCCATATGGAGCCCTATTATGTAATAACTTTCAGGATGATAGGCTCCTTTTGGCACCATTATTTTTATTTATATACATCAATGAAATGACAATAACTCCAGTTCTATTCAGTATTTTTACACAAAATTTGGACAAGTTGTTCAAATGTGATAATCCTTACTAAAAATTGTATCTCAGTGATAAAATTCAAGGTATAGGTCCTGGGGCGGAGGTAATTTGCAGTTTTACCCTCAAAACTGCTCTTACTTATCTGTCATGAGGGCTAATTTTTCCTCTTATATTCACGTTGGGAAAGTCACTCTTCTATATGGAGAGCTTCCAAGTTCTTCAATATCAATCCAGATTTATTAGCATCTGCTCAAGAGGTCTTACCTGGAATCTGGGGTACTTGCCATGTAGATAACTTCAACAGGTTGAAACTGTAAATCAGACTTATGATATCCCCTTGAGATATATTCCTCTTTGCAAAATGTATGTTCTGTAAATAAGATAGAACACCATCTTGATTTACAAGGTTTCTGTTGTTCCTACCTATAGACCCAGTTGAACACCTCTCTGTGGCATATCCTTCCCTTTCAAGTCTAACAAACATATTGCATTGGGAGGAAGGAGTAAGACACTCTTATCTGACATCTCTCATTTTGCATCAAAAAGGGCAGAGATGGAGGGCATGGTGTGGCTTAACAGTTTCTTGTAAAATAATAATAAACACAAAATCCAATAAATTATGTCAATATAATGTTGATGTTCTACTCCCATCATGATAAACCATGACATCTCATTTCTTCTCAGCCCCTCAGGTGAAACAGAAAGATGCTATGAGTATCAGAATGTTCTCTGTGCATAAGAAAGAATTTGAAAATCCATGGAGATCAACTTCAATGCTTCATCGCATGCAGTCATGATGAGACATTAAAAGTATATAAGACATTGACCCTGACAGAATATTCAACAATGGTTACACTTTTAGAGAGAGAGACCCTTTAGAATACAAATACTCATACTACATCAATTAGTATTGGCAGTTTCATCCTAGGATAGTCTCTTAGGGTATGTCTAATGTCAGACTTTATCAGAAATAATGTCTAATTGGATGCCTTCTATGCACTCCCTGTTTCCATTATTCTAATCTAAGAGCTTGTCATGAATATATATTAACCCAATTAGGCAAGAATTTGGAGAAAACTAATAAATCCATCACAAGTTATATTGTGATTTGTGATTCGAAACCAAGTAAAGATCCTGATAATAAACAAGGAAATTTATATCATAAAGTATCTAATGAGTAGTTTAATATTCTGCTAGAAAACAGCTCCATGATGCCATATATTGAATTCTTTCTTGAGTAGGGAGGCATCAAAAGTTCAATGTTGGATTGGAAACTAAATAAATCTAGTTTTGACTCTGCCCCCCCCCCCCCTCCCCCCCCCAAAAACTAAATACCATGAAAGTTGATCGCTGACTTCGGTTTGAGAATTTGAAAAATTATTGCTAAACACAATCTAGTTTTCATTAATTCCTATCGTCATTTGAGGCTTTTAACAACTATTGATAGAATAGAATCCTTTGGAATGACCTTGACGAAGAAAGCATCAGGTAAAATCTTTATTTTCTAACCATTCCAAGGCATTCTGAGTCAAAATTGCCAAAAATTTGAAATGTTAAAAATTTGTCGGATAGCAAACTGAAATGGGTTTGAACCCCCTCCCCCCTAACTAGATTTATTTAGTTTTCTATCCGACATCGAACTTTTGATGCCTCCCCTTACTTTAGCAGAGTTCTATGTCCCAAAAGAATCAGCACATAAAGTGGCCATATAGAGGCCATATTTAAAATACCTCCCCAAGCAGAGGTCCTTTGGCCATAAGATAAAAGGCTTTCAAATGGTGTGACCAAATTTCATAATTTGGTACATAAATAGTTTGTTATAAGAAATTACATTCTTTATGAAAAAATGGCAGTAATTTTGGACAAACAGACGGATGAACGGATGGACAAACAGATAGACAAACAGATGGAAGCCTTTTCTATATCCTTCATGAACTATGCTCAGTGGGATAACTGGAATTATTAGAGTATATTGGAAATTAGGAAGATGCAAGAGGAATGAGCTAAAACAGCAATTGTATTTTTTCTATCAAATTACAGCAGTTTTACATTTCCTGTTTAAAGTCTTTCAATTCCGCTATATATTCAATATCTGGTTATGATGTTGAA